TTTCTCGGGCAGCCCGGCTTACCTCGCCAGCTGGCAGTCCCCTGGCTTCTTCGGCTGCGGTAAATCTTCAGGGTCACCACAATGCCGAGTTTCAGCATCCGTGCAAGGACAGGAACGACTGTCACACACATTGATGCAATGCACAGTCGGTTCCCTTTATTTTTGCGCTTGTGCAGTTATATACATTTTTCATATCTGTACACGCGATTACACTTATTCAGATAAGGCTACAGACATAAATCACGCGCTGTTCACATGCCCCACATTCCCTTATGATTGGTAACTATGCACTAACGCCAATAGCAACAGACTGCCTCCACGTCCTTGAACACATCTTGTTTTTGCTAACCCACACCATGTGCACTATCAGAACTTTCTCAATGACTATTCTTAGCTGTCTTTTCCAGCAGCCTGTTCAGTTATGCTGTTTTGCTTAAGCAGCCTAGTCATGCTAACTCTCAAGCTACATCAACCCCAACACCTAATAAACAGATCTCTAGCTACTTTTTTCTTCTGTAAGATTTTTCTTAGCATTGCATTTGCCTTTCTGTTGTGTGAAATTCCACAGAACTGTAGTTACATGTTTAAAGTAATTTGAGAGCTAACTAACATGAACAAGGCAGTAAACCAGTCTAAAGAAAAGAAGCTACATAGCTGGGGTGGATGACCTTATAGAATTTAAACTATGCAAGAGTTAATATTTTTCCCTGATTTGCTCTAATAAGAGGAATCAAAGCAGACATGAGGATGTTTAAATACTACAGAATTGTAGGAGTCCTGTCATGAAGAGGCTATCAAAGAAATAGTGAGGTAGCATAATGGAGTCAAACTTGTCAAATTCAAGTGCAAGGTCAGATGTCTTAAAATCTCAGCATTTTATTTTTGTGTTTTGTTTTTGTATGTATGCACTGTAGGATATCTCTAGATCAGTAAGAATACAGAACCACAAAAACTGGAATATGCAATTACTAAATGTAATTTTTAAATTGTTCGCTATTTATTAACCCCCTTCTCCTCGCCCTAGACTTTTTTTTAAAATAAAAGGTGGTCTTAAAATGGAACGTGCTGTAATTCAGATTGAAAAATTATTTCAGGGATGTTTTGAAAAACATGAGTTATGTTCAAGCTGCTTACCTCTGTTTCTGGGGCGGGAGGAGAAGGGTGGCTTAAGGAGATCGCTAAGGAAAAAGTAGTGCATTTACTACAAGATTGTTCTACCAGCAGAGGAATATTAGCAGGGAGAGCTGCCAAATCCAAGGAAAAGCTGGGCAACTATTTTCCTACATTTGTGAAGAGAAAATTATGAAACTAAAGCTTGCTTATGCTGGGATCAGGGTTAAAGTAGATAATTTTGTTTGCTGGTACATTTCTTTCTTTAGAGGGAAGTAGGGAGCAGAAAGGTACATGAATTGGATGAGAGGTAGGTAAGATGTGGAGAAAAGGAAGGACAGGTAAGAAGGTAGAGCTGTTGTGTGATGCCTGTGTTCTTAGAAGTGATACACTTGAGCAAAGATGAGTGTCAGCCTCTTGTTTTCAGCAGAGAGTACTGCATACAAAAAGCCATGAAAATGGGTCTTTCAGTAATACAGATTTGAAATATTTACTCAGTGAGCCTAAATGGAAGCCTTCTACTACCCACCCTTGTAGCCTCTGATACAGAATTGTTGAGAGATGATCTTAAAATGCTGAAGCACTGTGCTCTTCACATGGACTTAGCAGCTGAATTGACAGTATTAGTCATTAAGAATTGCTAGCAGTGATTTCAACATTAATAAAAGCCTAGGTGTCAAATCATACCACCTGATGGATATCAGGTTTCCAGCATCGAACTTGAAACATGTTATTCATCTCCCATCCCACTATCCCTTTGTGTTTCCCTGGCTCTTGCACATCTGCAATTCCAGAACCTTGCTGACCAGTTGTGTTGAGTGAGTCCTGGAGGACAGGAGAAGCTGCTGCTGGAAGAGCAGTATGCTCTCCTTTGATCACAGGACTGCAGTTTCCACTTAACAAATGTTAAATATACAACAGCAGTGCTTCTGAGTCATATGCACTAGTAGCAAAAAAAATACTCAAATTTTGCATTTTTTAATTCCGGTAGTCTGAAGCCCAGAAGAGACAGATTTTAAAGTATTTCTGTGGAGTCAGCTTAATATGCAAAATAAGTCACAGTTGTATTTACAGAAATTTGAGTGGATGTGAGGGAATTACGAAAAATTATGTGCCATCAGCAAGCTGGCTAGCACTTTGTGTGAAGACCAGCATTTAAGTTTTCTTGAATTCTCACTGTCAAAGGATGATATTTTAGTTTATTATCTTGACGCTTTTTAGAATTTTTTCTTCTTTTAATGTTTTTATCCTTTGCTGAGTTGGGATAAATTAAAGCTGGCATTTATTTTATATGCATGGTCTCCAGAGGAAGTTTTCTATTACTTTTAACAATTGCCTTAATATTTTGTCTTGCAAAGTCAATACTACAGCAGTATGATGACTTTCCTTTTTAGGATCTTAACATGCACCTTGAAGATAAAGTCTACCTTGCAGGAAACATTTTTACCTTAGCAGACATTTTGATGTACTATGGATTGCATCGTGTCATGGTAAGTGTTATTTGCATTATTTTTATATGTACAGCTATCATAATTGTTTAAGGGCAGTTTATTGTTGAAGTTGACCTACTGAATTGATTAATGACAATTACAGAACAAAAATGAAGAGATTTCTTGTAAGAACTTCAACTAAAATTTGTTTTTAAGTTGTTCAGGTTTTTTTTAATCTTTAGCTATGAATCTGTCAAAAGTGTACTATCTGCAGTGTCCAGAATGCTTTAGCTTCCTCTGTATAATGTAGGACATTAGCTATCCCTGTGTTTCTAGGTATAAGGACTCTATGTTCAAGTCTGAAACACGACTGCTTACAGAACTACATGGGGAAACAGATAAATGAAACTGAAAGGATGGGTCAAAACTGAAAGTACTAACCTTGTTGATACTGGAGGAATGCTGCTGATGCTATGAAAGATGCACCTAAATTAAGTTCCTGAAGGATGTATGCATGTAAAAGTGTGAGCCGTAACAAAACATCATTTGTGTTTCAAGACTTAATAATAAGACTTGATAATGTACAGAATATGAAAATAACATGGGGAGCTGGTGCTTAGAAGGGGGGGAAAAAAACCACAAAAACATCAACAAAAGAGCTTGTACCGAGTGGAGAAGGTGTTGAGATGCTGCGTAGTCAGCTCAGGATTTGCTATGAAGTGCTTATAAATCATTGCACCCCAATTCTGAACACCAAGTGGTAATTTAAGGATGAAGGAGTAGAAGTTTTTTGTATTTCAGTGGCAGGAACTTGACTGTAAACGAGCCATCCTTCTCTGGAGTGGGCACTACTAAACAAAGCAAAGGACTTATACAAAAAGGTCTGCTAAGTTTTTGGGAGAAGAGAAAATCAATCAGTTTTAAATTAGAAAATTGTGGGGGGAGGAGATAATCAGAAGATGCCTCTGGTAAATGCATGTGTGCCTGAGAATTGGTGAATTCAATAAACTGGGTGAATGTTTACTTTATACGATTAAAAGCAGGGCTCTGGGAGAAGAGTGCAAGAATGCTACACTTAAAAGGGAGGCTGAGGTGGGGGGGGAGCGGAGATCAAGAAATAAAATGCAACCAAAAATGAGAAACAACTTAAGGTATGTGTATCTTGACTGTCGAGGAGTACAAGTTCAAATGAGAGAGAGTAAAGCACAGGAGAGGGAAGGGAAGCTTTATTTCAGAAGGTTTTTGAAAACATGTTAACATGTTAAGTAACAGTAAGTTACTTAAACTTAATTCTGTTAAATCATATTTGCCTTGTAAAATATCTTTAGTAGGATAGATTTGTTGACTAGAGTGTCAGAGTGGGTTACGTTTCACATATGTGTAGACGTAGGAAAAAATGTATAAATACTTTCTAAAACTATGTCTGTATATGCTGTAAGAGAGTACAAGTTCAAATGAGACTTTTTTTTTTAAACTTGGGCAAGGGAAAATCGAGCATATTTTAAATTTAGAGTTTGCTCTAGAGTAGACCACCTAATCAAGAAGAAAAGATACAAGTTATTGCTTTGGGAAATAGAACAGATGGTAAAAACAAATGACTTGGTGCTCCTGGGTGCTAGCAACCATCCAGATACTACTTGGGACAAGTTTATAGTACAGCATCTGTTTCTGAAATGTTTGATTTCATGGAAGATAATTTTCTGAATCGGAAAGGTATAAAGGGCAAATAATGGGGTGGCTATCCTAATTAAAGAGGAAAATCTAGAAGCTGCAAGCTAGGAATTACATGTATCTTGAAGGTTTCAGAATTGATTAACATTAGTACTCAACTATAGAGGTAAGATCTTGAACTGTAGAATCCTGTGATTTTTTTTTTACTATTATTTTTATTTTTCCTGTAATAAGAGGAGAGTACATTGAGAGCTTCTTCTCTGCCCTAAGCTTGGTGAGGGGAAGCTGCTGTATCTCTTAATGTGATGTGGTCCAGGAAAGCAGTTTGTCATATCCACTGCTGTTTCAGCTAAGCCTTATGCAAAATATCAATAAATGTGTCCTACAGTCCTTCAAGAGAGGAGGCCAGAAGTGGGAGGCACGGGGGGGGCAGACCCAGAGTTCTGGCCATCCATCAAGCTGTTTAGAAAATTGATCTGCAAATGTTACTGGTGATAGACTACCAATGACATGCTAACACAGACATTAGAATACTCTAAATACTAGTGATGTACCATGATCGTCCTGAATGAGCCAAATTTTAATAAAAACCATAAAAATCTTCCAATCCACATTACATTAGACAGGTTTTTAAGACCACCCAATCCTATTGCTTACTTCACCTGTGGATTCATCTTACGTTCTTCGTGTTTCTGAATGGGGATCATATATCTTCATATTGGGGAGGAACAACCCCATGCACCAGTACAGGCTTGGGGCAGACCTGCTGGAGAGCAGCTCTGTGGAGAGGGACCTGGGAGCGCTGGTGGACGACAGGTTGACCATGAGCCAGCAGTGTGCCCTGGCTGCCAAGAAGGCCAATGGGATCCTGGGATGCATTAGGAGGTGTGTGGCCAGCAGGTCGAGGGAGGTTCTCCTTCCCCTCTACACTGCCCTAGTGAGGCCTCATCTGGAGTAGTCTGTCCAGTTCTGGGCTCCCCAGTTCAAGAAAGATGAGGAGCTACTGGAGAGAGTCCAGCAGAGGGCTACAAGGTTGATGAGGGGACTGGAGCATCTGTCCTTTGAGGAAAGGCTGAGGGAGCTGGGCTTGTTCAGCCTGAAGAAGAGAACGCTGCGAGGGGACCTAATAAATGCTTATAAATATCTCAAGGGTGGGTGTCAGGAGGATGGGGCCAAACTCTTTTCAGTGGTGCC